AAAGGATGTAAGCCTAAGTGCAGTGCGCCTTCACTGATTTTCCTCTTTCCCCCTTCCCTCTCGCTGAGATGCAGATAATCAGTACTATCGTATTACTTTAGAAATTTAATATGAGAAACAAAGAACTGCTATTTTGTTGAAGTCATAATTTTGGGTAGTAGCCAAATTTACATCTCAATGAATCTAGGGTGAGGGTACATGGTCTGGAGCACTGAGATTAAGAGATTTTTCTCATATGGATGAAAAAAAGAAAGTAAAAAGAAATGTTCAGTTTAGGCCAAGGAAACCTGTATCATTCCGTCAGCTCTCTGACATATGAAAGTTGGAACCATGAACAGGAAGACAGAGTTATGGAAACAAATGTGAGTTTTACTAAGAATGTTATAATAGCATAATGGTTCCAATGTACAGAAGTAGACTTGTTTTGTAGGCATATAAATTCATTAACTTCATATTCAGCCTAGATAATAAAGATGTCCTTCCGATCCTCAAAGAAATAACATCTGTTAAAAGATTCTCATGTTATATGCCAAGACACAGGTGATATCAATCTTTCAAGTAACATAAAGGGTCTTCAAGAAGTTGTGTAGTATGAAAATATGTAGTATGAAAATATTTTGCATGGTTTTCTATTTTTTTGAGCCAAATAAGCTTGTACTTTATGCCATTTTTCTACAAAATTTTGAAGTCCCCTAGCCTAATATGCCTACTAAATTTTGGAGGGGTATTTAGTTAAAATAACCTTTATAGAAAATTAATGAAAAGTTAAAAGGTAGAGTCCTGGAACAGAGGATGAGGGAATATCATCATTTATTCTTCAATCATAAAAGAATTTCCATCCAAGATATGTATAAACAGAAGGCACTGATTTGAAAGGTCGTCTGAAATATCTGAGATGAAGGGCAGGTCCCTTAAAGTGAAGCTGAGTTGGGCTGAGACTGCATGGCAGAGTGTGAGAAACTCAGAGCAGGCTTGTTCGTGATGAGAAAGGAGTGTGGGGCCTGGTGCTAACGCTGTGTACTCTGCCACCTCAATCTGATTGTCACCACTGCTGTAGGAAGGCCCACTTTCAGCATCTGCATGAGATTCTAAGTCAAATACTTTTTTAAGAAGATTGTTTTCACTGTTACTGAAAGTACTGTTTTGCACATTGTTCTGTGGTGTCATTATCAACATAATCTTTTCCAGGATCTTGAAAAAGCAGAAAGTAGCTGCAATATAAACAAATACCCCCATCCAAAGGGGGAAACAAGACAAAAAAGCGCCCAAAGCCAACTTCTTAGAAGTTTAACTGATGGACACTATCTAGTGAAAACTACCATGGACCAAGTACTATACTTGCCATCATCTGGTCACGTTACTGATGCCAAAAGCAACGCAAATTTAATGTACTTGCTGTAACATACAAATGCAAGGATTTTAAAAAAACCACAATATTAAAGTTCTATAAAAACACAGTAATAAAATTATCTTAAAAGTTTCAGAAGGTGAGAATTGCACACTCAACCAGGCCATATTAAACACACCAATATCTTCCTAAATCTGAAGTTTTTCCCTCAAAGATAATACTGAAAACGTTTCGAGTATTACTAGGAATAGTTTAACTTGAAAATTCATCTCTGAGGCTCTGCTGTGGAAGTGCAAGTGGTAGCAAGCTACTCTAAAATGCTGGAGCTGAAAGGAAGGACCAGGTTCAGTTTCCATGCCAAGTGTGGTACAGGTGCACAGCTGTAGCCTCAGCTGATCGGGAGGCTGAGGTGGGAGGATTGTGGCATAGAGAGATCAGTCAAAAATACTTCTCTCTCAATAAGACAAAAATGAAAACAAAACTTCCCTGAAGAATTAAAAAAAATGATTTAAATAAGTTGGAAATAAAAGTTTAAAAGTAAAGACTACATATTATATGATTTCATTACATAAAATTATAGGAGACACAAACTCATCTAAATTATTAGAAAACATATTGGTGGTTATCTGGGGCCTGGGGTAAAAAGGGACGGCTGGACAGTAAAGGGGCATGAAGGAACTTCGGGGACTGGTAGACATGTTCAGTGTCTTGATTGCTGGGGTAGTTTCACAAGTGTATACATAGGTCAAAGCTCAGTATGTTGCACAGGTGAAGTGGATGCAGTTTACTGGATATAAATCATAAGCCAATTAAAATAAGACATACCAAAAGCAGAAACAAAAATATATTTAAAAAAATCCTCAAAAAACAAACAAACAAACCCATGTTAACCTCACTTTTTTGTACAGAACAAGTCTTCTTTCTATAATACAGTTACCTGAATTTCCATTTTTGGTTTATTTCTTTCAGGTGAAAGAAGAGAAAGAATGAAGGTACCCCATTGACCAAATAAGTGAACACAGAGAAGTTGAAGAATCTCAGATTTTGGTGAGCATTTTAAATTACAGTTAAGTGAAGTTGCTTAGAGCATAGACTTGGGTTAAAAAGACATATGCTGGCTTTGTGGCTATCTATAGAGCAGTCATCCACTCCTTGCTCTCGCTAGTTAGAACTGTTACCTCATGATTCCCTTCTTTCGTGCACCTTCAATTGAAATGTTTTCCTATTCTCCTTTTCATATCATGGGCTGACTGTGGCTCAGAGTCTCAATGCGTGAGATTCTGCCTAAAACAGAGAATGATAAAAAAGCAGACTCAGGTACGAGCCTTAACCTTTATAAGCCTATTTTCCCATTTATAAAATGGGCATACCACCTAATTACTGTCTAACTTAAATGGATAGGTAACTTGGTATTAATAATGGCTCTGTCGGGAACCAGCAGTTAGTGTAATGGCTATGTTGCTGGACTCCCACGTAGTTGACTGCAGTTCGCGTCCCGGACCCAGTGACTTAAAACTCACACTGGGCGCGTGTGAGTGCGTGCCCAGGATCCCAAGAGGAGAATGGAAGAGAAGGGACTGCAGTGTGACCATCCCCCCTGGGGGGTGATTTCTCGCTTTCTGTCTCTATGTTTCTCTCTGTCTGTCTGGTGAGCGCACGCGCCCTATAGTGAAAACCTCAAAAAAAAAAAAATGGCTCTGTTTATAACACATGATCAATAAATAATTGTTACAGGAATGAGAGAATGAGTGGGCAGATTTAATACAATGCAGGTAGAGTTTATAAGAATGTGTACACATGTGTAGGACAGTTAGTAGTTTAATAAAAGAATGAAATACTTAATATAACTTTGAAATTCCATGAGAAATATATATATATATATATTAATATATATATATCCTTGAGGGAGATGGCCACACCTCAATCACTTCTCCATTCTCCTCTTCGAATTTTGGGCATGCATGGCATGCACCTGGCGTAAGTTTTTGGCTGCCAGTTCTGGGACTTGAACCACATTTGACCACATGGGAGTCCAGCACCTTAACCACTACGCCACCTGCTGGCCCTGAGAAATCATCTGTTTTTCTTGAGAGGTTTTTGCTATAGGGCGCGTGCGAGAGAGACAGGAAGCGAGAAATCACCCCCCAGAAGGATATCCATGCCACAATCCCTTCTCCTCCATTCTCCTCTCAGGATCTTGGGCATGCACGCACATGCGCCCAGCATGAGGTTAAGCCACCGGGTCCGGGACTCCAACTGTGGTCAACTACATGAGAATCCAGCGACATAGCCATTACATCAACTGCTGGCCCCAAGAAATCATTTTTTTAATGAGCAGTATCATTTAGCAAAGTATTGCGCTTCATGTAAGTTAGGACTCATGAAATTGTGAAGAACACCCATCTAATCCCCAATTTTTTGACCCAGAGGAGATGACGTGTTAACTAGACAATCATCCAGCCTCTCAAACAATCATGATTATGGTACAGCAGTGTTGGATATTAGAATCATACTGAAATTTCAGTTTTTATTAGTTTCTGTGTCAGGTAAACATGCCACTAGAGCAGAACACCCCCCAGCTTATTTGCTAATATGCCATTCACCATTTTTATGTATCAGTTTAGAATAACAATCTGAATTTTATTAAAAACAATAATAAATCTAAAAAGCTTCCTTCAATTACAATATGCACAAGCATTTCTGCATTACATTATTTTACATAAAATGTTTTGAATGACAGAAATAAAAGTAGAACTTACTACCACTGGAAGAAAGGAGCTGAGCACTGAAAACTATACACACTTACAGAAAGAAACAGAAGTTTTTCACACGGAATACCTATGATCTCTGGCTACAAGCAGGTGCTGAAACTGGGAACATCAGCATTAAAGAGACTTGAAGTAAAAAAGACATGCAAGACTCTAAAATACTTTGGCAAAAATAGTCCAACATTTGTAAACAATTTTTAAACAAAGTTTTTTAATATACTGTGTACTACATGGTAAATATTCTTAACTGATTTTTTATTCCACCCAGAAAAGCAATGTTTAGGAAAGAATATTTCCCTCTAAATGTGCTTTCTTTCCTTGGAGGCAAGAATAAAATATAATTAAGAGTTTGTTTAAGTATTGTTTGGGAATTTCTTAATCTGGGGCATTTTAAGCCATTTTGTGTGCCTGTCCACTATTACCACCCCAAAAATGAGGATTAGAATAAATCATACAATTAGAATAACAAACAGTTCAGCTCCTTGTTAAAATCTCTATTTGAAGGTTTGATGTTGAGCACTGACCAAACTGGCTATGGATTTTAATTATCCCTGGTATCCTTTTCTCCTATCTTCAGTGATAATCAGGACTTAAAAGTATGAGCCTGGCAAGGCAACTCCTTAAAAATCAAGTAGGGCTGAACTGCACTCAATGTCCAGGACAACTACAGCACTGAAAATCCCAAGGAACTTACTGTAAACAAACGAGCAACTGTTAGACAGCCTTTCTGCATTTGGTACCATGACTAAAATCTATATTTTCTTCCATTTGCCTATGTGAATATTTTTATGAAATGACTATATGTAGTAACAATAAGAAAATTTCCTTTAAGTGTATTATGATACAGCAAAACTTATCAATGACTAGAAATAAAATCTGAAATCTCTAATGCTAAATCCTAACGGAAAAGTCAAGCTTTAGCTTAGACAGTTTATGCTCTAAGATAATCAGAAAAGCCTCTTAACAGTCACTAGGTCCCTTTTAGCAGAGTGACAGATGGACATGTAAGCAGCAATGCTACGAATGAAATGCTTTTCCTTAGCCTGCAGTTACCTTCATGCCAATTTTATCTTTATATTAACATGTTGTACCCAATATCAGTTTCAACTAAACTTCCCTTTTATTTAAATTAGGTGATGGAAGACATTTAGTTCCCAGAAGCTTTCTAATATTAGATTTTGAAGAAGCTAAAAAAGATGTAGTTTATTACAAACCGTCTGTACCTTTATTGCTTGTATACACAAGGAATTCATTAAAAACACAGTGGGGGAGAAAAAATAATGGAAGAAAAAGTTACCTGCTTTAGCATTTTTAAGAAGAGTTTTGATAACTCCTTAGATCAACTTGCTTATCTGAAATAGAGCAAAAACTATAATACAATCATGATAGAATTCTAATAGAGCAATTATGCTTTCATTTTAAATTTTCTCTTCATAAAACATTAATGCTATAAAAATGAGACTGATGATACCCTTTTATTTAAAAGATACCCTGTACTGGTATCAAAATGTGGTTTAATACCAACTGAAAAAAATAGAGCTTGAATAGTCTATTATTTCAATGACATTTTATTATTACCTTTAAGCTATTTTAAAGGTCGGTAGCAAAGTTATTGTTAACAATATAAATATTCTCTTTATAAGTGTTGAAATTCTCTTAAAAGTGTTGAAAGGCAGCAGGCATTCTTTAATGAGCTTGCAAGGAAAATCAATTATTACACTTGGATATGTAGGCTACTTAATGAATTTATATGTACTTTTAAAACTTCTCCATTACTCTTGATTTGCCTAATTTATTCCTCATTTGGATCATAAAAAGAAATCAAAGTTCGAGCTTTTTAGTTGAAGTGATTATTTCCATTTTTTCACTATTTCTCTTCAGTTTCTTCAAATATATGGTAAAATAATTCAACAAGGAATGATCATTTAAGCTGGGTCATTTTTTTTCCTTTTAATTTCCTTTAAGAGATAATATTAGTAATAAAACCTTTACAGTTTCAACACACATACACACAATCAGAATTAAAAGTCTTTATGCCTTAGAAAAAAAGAAAAGGGAGTTCCATTTTGTTCAATGTATCATAATCAAAGTTTAGTCTAAGGAAATCTGGTAAAATTGCTTTCACTAAATAAAGCAGCCACCACTTACCTTAAAATATTTTATGGATGGAACTAAGTTCCATACTGATCCAAAGATGCTGGCATCAAAGCCCTCACTGTGTACCATCCCTAAAGGTGCTATATGTCTGTAATGTACCACCAATTATTCTAGATTCTTAATACCCTGTCTTTGACTTGGTGTATACCATTTTTTGGAGAAAAAAAGTGTTAGTTTTTGAGATGAGATACAAGAACAAAATCATTCTTGAGGTTCCACCGCTAATATGGAAGAAAGGATGCTGTTTGCCCACAGCAGCTAGTTTGATACCCCGTGTTCTGCTAGGCTAGCCTTCACACAATGAGCATGCATATACAGTCACAGTTCACGGCTTCTGTTCTGAAGATGAGAACTGCTGCTTTTCCAAGTGACAGACACCACCCATGTTATGCAAGAAGACAGTGGAATTGCACGTCTACCATGAGAAAAGGAAAATAAATGATGAAACAAATGCAGCAAGTATAGGCAGTTGGCATTCAGAACACGCCAAAAAGCTAACACTCATGAATTGTCATTATAAGGGTCTTTCGTTCCTTAAAAAAAAAGTCTTTCTTTGCATATTTTAAAATTTAGCAGTCACAGAGGATCATGAAGTGCCTTGTCGTTTTTGCTGTTGACTTCTGATGACTTCTAACTGTTTTTTGCATTGCTGGTAGTAGGTAGAAAGGCTTTTGTTTTCATCTAAAAGCTTTTTATGTTCCTGTACCAGACGTGATGTGTTCTGCTGGTCCTTTTCATCCTGGTCCAATTCTGCAACTAATTCTTGCCTAGAAACAAATACCACATAATAAAATATTATACACAATGGAAAAATTCATGCCTTACTAGCTGATGACAGAAGCTTAGTTAATTTATTCTGGGTCTATCATTCCACATCTTAGTTATACTACTCAAATATAATTACGGATCAGAATGGAAATTATCACCCATTCTTCTGGTGTAACCATACAAACATAATTCTTGTAATAAGGAGCTTTACTTAGATAATTAGTGTAGCAGATAAAATGGTAAAATAAAAGTAAAAATAAAACCTCATTTGGTATCTTCTTTTTGTGTAGGATGGAAGGAAAAAGGCTGGCAAAGGCTTTATATGGCTACAGAAAAATAACACTTTAAGTTTTTATTATTATTCACATTCTGCTTTTATACTCACAAAGTCATATTCAGATCCCGAAGTCACAATACTATTTTACTGACAGTGCAAAGTGGGAACTAATAAAACACTCGTAAGTTAATTAAAATAAATGCTATCCAACTTAAATCTCTTTATTTTAAAACAATGAGAATTACACGAAGTACCACTTTGAAATCTCTTACATTTGCAAACATTTTTCAGGAAAGATCCTCAGTTTTAAATAGTCTGATAAACTTCTAAAAGTATCTTTTACTTGGAAGACATTAACTTCTAAAGCAAGGTTACTAGATATAAATGAAAAATTAATTGAAAAGTCCTCATATAAAATACTTCATAATAATAGGTTGTTGAAAAAGTCATGGTATTTTTCTACAGTTTTATTTTTCTATGCAAAAATGCATTATGACTTTTCCAATGACCCAATACATCTCATTCACAGTATTTATATATAATTGACTAAAACTGTCATAGTTTTCACACCCTCACTCCCCCATCCATCATTTGTTTCTCGAGCATAAAACTCTTCTTTTAGATAAAATATGGACAAAAGTATAGGTTAAATATGTGAAACAATATGCTAAAAAAAGTATGTTTTTCAGTTCCATCGTTATAAAGCTCTGGCATTTAATTTCCTACTTATGCTTACTTTTTAATTTTTTAAAAAATTATTTATTAAATAAAAAATTATTTAATTTTATTTATTATCATTATTGTTTTTTAACTTGCTACAGGTCATGTGTGAGCACACCAGAAAGAGGACAGAGTGAAAGAGAGAGGGAAAGTGAGAAAGCAAACCACCAGGTCCAGGATTCAAATCATGGTTGGCCATGTGGGAGTCGCCACCTTCACCACCATACCACCTGCTGGCCCTATTTAGGCTTCCTTTTGATACCAAATTGATTTTATTTAAATAATTGTATCAGTGAACTGAGATAAAACTAATTTTTTTTTTGAAGCTGAAACAGAAAACCTTTTACAAATTACTTCAGGAAACAACAATTTTCACTAATTTGGATTAAAATTAATAGATTTCTATTACCATGCATACATATTGCTGCTATAACTTTTTTTCCTACATTTCCTTTTGGTTACAACCCATAAATCAGCTTTATAAATATAAAATTTCATGAGTCATGCTTAAGATAACTTTTTTCAAAAAGAACCATGAATACAGTAGTACAGAATTGTATGGGATTTCTTAAAAAAAGGTTCAAGGAAGGCAGCTTCTATGACTCTCAGAAAAATACATATGGTTAATAAAGTCCCCAGAAAACACTCATAAGTATGACATAAAGCCCTAAGCACCCTAGTCTCCTAAACATACACCCGGAAAAAATATTCTACAAAATGTCTCTAATATAAATCATAACTGAATGTTAATAAATCAAATTATTTTACCTATTAACAAGAAATCTGTAGGTCTTTATAACAATAGATCTACACAGCTTTTAACTTTAAAACTCTGAGAACATCAAACGCATGGGTATAAAACACCAGCTTATTTCCCTTAGTGTTATTATAATATGATATAGACAAAAGGTTGGGTTTTGTATGAAAAATGGTCAAAGGGTACTTAAAAAAACATGACTCTAAAATGTTCTCATTAGTAATATACTTAATGACCCATTTTAAGAACTTCAAGATTTCAAGTTTTCAAAAAATTCTGCACTTTACCATGTTTCAAACTTAAAAATACTAACTTCTTTTCGTGCTTATTCATAAAAGATAACTTACTTTCTTTGTAATAACAATGCAATTTCTGTTTGAACTTTCATATATTCTTGTGCCATTTTACAATGCTGTTCAAACACTGCCATAGATTCTTTGGAGTTTGGGCATGGTGCTAGAGGCTGAAAATAAATCAGAGAAGTTAAAACATTAAATCAAATCTCAGTTATCAAGTTGAGAGTTAAGATGGGAACCATGATGTATTTTTACAGCACTAAAGCAATGATCTTCTAGAAGTATAAGCCAAGTCCTAGAAAATCTCAGTGTCTTTCTGTCAGCGTTAACTCAGAACTTAAATTTACACATGGCCGTTTTATCATTTTTGTCATTACAGAGGTCCATGACTGGTAGGACATTTCAGGGACATTTCAGGTTACCAGACTCCCTTATACCAAATGATGTTTATAGGTTTATAGTTCCTTTTTTTTTTTTTTCCAAAGTGGCGATTACACATTTAATGTTTGAAGAAATGCTAAATTATTTTCCAGAATTATTCTATCCTTTTATATTTCCACCAGCAGTGTATGAACAATCCAGTTTGTCAATGGACTCATGAGTATTTGGTGTTCTATTTTTTTTTTCAATGTTTAGCAATTTGGATAGACATGTCATACTAGCTCATTGCATTTACTCAGATGGTAGTAATGTTAAACATCCTCTCAGGAGGAACCAGCAGTTGGAGTAATGGCTATGTTGCTGGACTCCCATGTAGTTGACCACAGTTGGAGTCCTGGACCTGGTGGCTTAAACTCATGCTGGGCACATGTGCATGCGTGCCCAAGATCCTGAGAGGAGAATGGAGGAGAAGGGATTGTGGCATGACTATACACCCTGGGGAGTGATTTCTTGCTTTCTTTCCCTCTGTATCTTTCTGGTGAGCGCATGCGCTCTATAGCAAAGACCTCTCCAAACACACACACACACACACACACAAACAAAAAACAAAAACAAAACAAACAAAAACCCTCTCATGGAATGCTTTTTTGCTATACATAAAGCCTCTTCTTTTTCTTTTATTTTGCTTTTAAAGGTTTTTGCCACCTGAGACAAGTGCTTGCTGGAGAGACAGAGAGGAGAAATGGGAAATTACCCTCCAAAGGGGCTGGCCATACTATAATCCCTTCTTCCAATCTCTTGGGGATTTAGGGCTGGATGTACACACACCTGGTGTGATTTTCAAGTTAAAAGTCTGAGACTTGGACCATGGTCAGTCATGTGGGAGTCTAGTGACTTAACCACCATGCCACTTGCTGGCACCGAGATGTTTAGAGCTCTTAGACTCATAACGAGGCATCAAAGTGTACTACTTACATTTTTTACATGAGTTTATATTTTAATGCACTAAAATTGAAGAATGAAAATGTTACACTAGACAATTTGGAACAAAGGTATGGGACTATTTTAAGATGACTGTTAGGATAAGAACATATGATCACGCCAACTTTAAATCTGATTAACTTAACAAAATTGTTTGTTTTTATTTAAAACATTTTTAAAAGGCCAACCTTAAAAGCATGAATAAGTGACCACAATGATAGACAGGAAAACAACTGTCCATTTTAGAGATAAAATCTCTAAGAAGAAAAAGGTAAATTTACCTGCAGCTGGTGATCCAGTGTGAGATAAGCCATTGGGATGGAGTTATCTGATCCATTGGTATCTGGAATTCAAGAATTTTAAAAATTTATTTTCTGTCACAAATAATTATACACACAAAAAAAGCATGCATAAAATATTTTTCCCTAAATACATGTTAAATAAAAGTTATTGCTATTGACAATAAAGGGTCTATTTTTATTTCTAAAGGTGAAAAGAGGCGATTCAACCAAATAACTAGAATACAGTATTTTCATATGTATAATTTAAATAGGCAATAAACAGAACAAAATACAATATATTAAACTCCGTAAGCCTTTAATTGAAAACAAGGTGGGCTGGTGCCCCATAGCTTAGTGGTTAAGGGAGTCATGTGGGAGTCTAGTGACTTAACCACCATGCCACTTGCTGGCACCGAGATGTTTAGAGCTCTTAGACTCATAACGAGGCATCAAAGTGTACTACTTACATTTTTTACATGAGTTTATATTTTAATGCACTAAAATTGAAGAATGAAAATGTTACACTAGACAATTTGGAACAAAGGTATGGGACTATTTTAAGATGACTGTTAGGATAAGAACATATGATCACGCCAACTTTAAATCTGATTAACTTAACAAAATTGTTTGTTTTTATTTAAAACATTTTTAAAAGGCCAACCTTAAAAGCATGAATAAGTGACCACAATGATAGACAGGAAAACAACTGTCCATTTTAGAGATAAAATCTCTAAGAAGAAAAAGGTAAATTTACCTGCAGCTGGTGATCCAGTGTGAGATAAGCCATTGGGATGGAGTTATCTGATCCATTGGTATCTGGAATTCAAGAATTTTAAAAATTTATTTTCTGTCACAAATAATTATACACACAAAAAAAGCATGTATAAAATATTTTTCCCTAAATACATGTTAAATAAAAGTTATTGCTATTGACAATAAAGGGTCTATTTTTATTTCTAAAGGTGAAAAGAGGCGATTCAACCAAATAACTAGAATACAGTATTTTCATATGTATAATTTAAATAGGCAATAAACAGAACAAAATACAATATATTAAACTCCGTAAGCCTTTAATTGAAAACAAGGTGGGCTGGTGCCCTATAGCTTAGTGGTTAAGGGAGCTGGATCCCACATGGCTGACTACAGTTTGAATCTCAGCCCTAGCAGTTTAAAAAACATCCTGGGCATGTGTGCAAGTGAGCATGTGAGCTCCAAATCCCAGTAGGATAGAGCTATGAAGGAGATGCGGCATGACCCAGTCCAACCAAGGGGGATGCTTCTTCCATCCCTGCAAGTGCATCTGCCCTCTGGCAATTTAAAAAAGCGGGGGAGGGCAGCAGGTGGTGTGGTAGTTAAGGTGCTAGATTCTCACATGGTTGGCCATGGGTTGAGTCTCAGACCTGATGGCATCAAAATTATGCCAGGCATGAATACACGTGTGCCCAAAATCCCAAGAGGAGAATGGAGAAGAGGCTGTGGTGGGGCCATCCTCCAGGGGATTATTTCTCACTTTCTCTCTCTCTGTCTCTATCCAGTGAGTACACCCTCTGGCAAAAATATTAAAACAACCAACAACAACAACAACAACAAAAAAAAAACAAAGCAAAAAATCAAACCAAAACAATGATATGGGACCTTTATATGTAAAATTTTATCTTAACTGACCCTATGATCAAACTCTACATCTTTGTCTCTTTTTAAATCATGCAAAATGTCCTATAAGGCTATGTCAACTCTATCAACACCAGTGCTCCTTAACTGGGGAAGGGAGACAACAAAAAAATCATTCTCTTCTGCAAATCATTTTCAACTTATATAGATTCTCATGTGAACTTCCTTTACTGTCTCAATCAATGAGAATCACTGCAGAAATGACAGATGTTATTGGTACTAGTATATTACATATACTAATAGTATGAGAACAAAAAGGAGGTTTAGAACTGTGGCTCAGTGGCATGCCGAAAATAGTTAAATTGGTTAATTCAGATAACTAGTCAATTTTATCAAATTATTTAAACAGATAGCTTTTTTTTTATATTTCAAAAGAAGTCAAATTGATTAGGGTGTATGTAGAAAAGTGTCATAAATCTATGAAATAACAGACTTTCCTGATTCAGAAGTAGCTGATTTCCCACTGTTAGTTGTTTAAAAAAAAAAAAAAAAAAAAAAAACATATACATATACATATATATAATTGTTAGAGAGATGGGGTGAGGAGTGGAAGGATCCCCAATGGGGTGTGGACAAACCACAATCTCTTCCCCTCTATTTTTCCATCTTGTTTGGATTTTGGGCATGCATGTACACATACCAGGCATGTTTCTTAAACTCCTAGTGCTAGGATTTGACAGGGTTTGGGGGCCATGTGGGATCTGGCTCCATTAACCATGAGGGGATAGGATCAACACAAGTTTTCTTTTTTTTGTCACTAAAAATGTGCTTGCAAGTAACTCCAACATTAATGTCTTTCTAAACGTCACTCTAACATTAATGCTTTTCTAAAGTGGCTAAACAAGAAATACATCTAATTTGTTCTTTCTCTGATGAACCCTTCCCCCAAATTCCCAACAGTAGTTTCAAATTGTGCTCCCATGTAAACTCTGCTTTCTATAAAATTAAAATGAATTAAAAATGATTTCTCCCTGACTTATAGGAAAAATTGAACATCTTGAAAAAGTTTTCTCAATTTAACATTTCCATTCTTATTACTCTTTCTTAAATCATTGATACCTTATTATATTCATTACATTAGCACCATGATACATATTTTAGAATTAAGTACAAATACATCAATGTTTTATACTATTCTGGAAGTAGGGGAAAATGTCTAAGAATTGTACAATTCAAACAATTAAATTAAAGTCCTTCAATGGTGAGGAACTTAAGTCCTCTACTGAATTTCACCACTTCGCTAAAATCAAGAAATGAGATTTTATTTTATTACTTATATATGAATTGAAATTGAGCTTTCAGTCTCTAACAGTAATAACTGGTCACAAGATAGCAAGGTTAGTCCATGAAAGGTTGTTTTTTGTAATGTTTCAGTTGCTAATCAAACCTAATCTCTTCTAAATGTTAAGACTCATATTGGTTTGGTTAAATTAGGTGCAATCTCTTTTCTGACCCCCCAAACACAACTTGCCAGCTCATATTTTTCCTCTTTCTATTTATTTAGTTATTAAAAAAAAAAATACAGTAGAGGGTGTGTGAGGGGATTATTTCTCACTTTCTCTCTCTCTGTCTCTATCCAGTGAGTACACCCTCTGGCAAAAATATTAAAACAACCAACAACAACAACAACAACAAAAAAAAAACAAAGCAAAAAATCAAACCAAAACAATGATATGGGACCTTTATATGTAAAATTTTATCTTAACTGACCCTATGATCAAACTCTACATCTTTGTCTCTTTTTAAATCATGCAAAATGTCCTATAAGGCTATGTCAACTCTATCAACACCAGTGCTCCTTAACTGGGGAAGGGAGACAACAAAAAAATCATTCTCTTCTGCAAATCATTTTCAACTTATATAGATTCTCATGTGAACTTCCTTTACTGTCTCAATCAATGAGAATCACTGCAGAAATGACAGATGTTATTGGTACTAGTATATTACATATACTAATAGTATGAGAACAAAAAGGAGGTTTAGAACTGTGGCTCAGTGGCATGCCGAAAATAGTTAAATTGGTTAATTCAGATAACTAGTCAATTTTATCAAATTATTTAAACAGATAGCTTTTTTTTTATATTTCAAAAGAAGTCAAATTGATTAGGGTGTATGTAGAAAAGTGTCATAAATCTATGAAATAACAGACTTTCCTGATTCAGAAGTAGCTGATTTCCCACTGTTAGTTGTTTAAAAAAAAAAAAAAAAAAAAAAAAAGCTAAATGAGTGAACTGTTCAGCTCTTTCTGTAATTCTCTGAAAGAGTGGTGCTGATAAAGAAAAGGTCAGGATGACAGTGAAGACCTGTACTTAGTTCAGTTAAAAAACTAGTACGACTCAATAGCTCAGTAACTTTCTAATTTACTGTTGACTGATATTCTAGGTTGTTTTTTTTTTAATCACTAGAGAGCATATATATATATGTGTGTGTGTGTGTATAATATATATATACACACACACATATACATATACATATACATATATATAATTGTCATAGAGATGGGGTGAGGAGTGGAAGGATCCCCAATGGGGTGTGGACAAACCACAATCTCTTCCCCTCTATTTTTCCATCTTGTTTGGATTTTGGGCATGCATGTACACATACCAGGCATGTTTCTTAAACTCCTAGTGCTAGGATTTGACAGGGTTTGGGGGCCATGTGGGATCTGGCTCCATTAACCATGAGGGGATAGGATCAACACAAGTTTTCTTTTTTTTGTCACTAAAAATGTGCTTGCAAGTAACTCCAACATTAATGTCTTTCTAAACGTCACTCTAACATTAATGCTTTTCTAAAGTGGCTAAACAAGAAATACATCTAATTTGTTCTTTCTCTGATGAACCCTTCCCCCAAATTCCCAACAGTAGTTTCAAATTGTGCTCCCATGTAAACTCTGCTTTCTATAAAATTAAAATGAATTAAAAATGATTTCTCCCTGACTTATAGGAAAAATTGAACATCTTGAAAAAGTTTTCTCAATTTAACATTTCCATTCTTATTACTCTTTCTTAAATCATTGATACCTTATTATATTCATTACATTAGCACCATGATACATATTTTAGAATTAAGTACAAATACATCAATGTTTTATACTATTCTGGAAGTAGGGGAAAATGTCTAAGAATTGTACAATTCAAACAATTAAATTAAAGTCCTTCAATGATGAGGAACTTAAGTCCTCTACTGAATTTCACCACTTCGCTAAAATCAAGAAATGAGATTTTATTTTATTACTTATATATGAATTGAAATTGAGCTTTCAGTCTCTAACAGTAATAACTGGTCACAAGATAGCAAGGTTAGTCCATGAAAGGTTGTTTTTTGTAATGTTTCAGTTGCTAATCAAACCTAATCTCTTCTAAATGTTAAGACTCATATTGGTTTGGTTAAATTAGGTGCAATCTCTTTTCTGACCCCCCAAACACAACTTGCCAGCTCATATTTTTCCTCTTTCTATTTATTTAGTTATTAAAAAAAAAAATACATTAGAGGGTGTGTGTATTTGCCAGAGACAGAGAAAGAGTGAGGAAGAAAGCAACCCCAAGTGGAGAATGATCCCAGCACAATCCTTTCTCCATCCTGTAGAGATTTAGCACATTTTTCAAGTTATTAGAGCCAGGATTTGAACTGAGGTTGGCCATGTGGGATCCAATTCCCTCCATATAGTATTTAAACCAGTGTGCTACAGGGCTGGCCCACCATCTCATAGTCTTTATGCATTCCCTTCGTGTGGAATGCTGTCTTCTCCTTTCTGCTTATGACTAAAGAACAAGTGTTATTATTTTTTAAAAAGTCACATACTATTCCAGGTCTTATTGATTTCCTCAACAATTAGAATGACTTGACTTATAGTATACATTTATTAGCTTACTATATCTGGCATAATGAGGTTTTAAAATTTATTCTAAAATTTATTATATTTTTTCTATAGGGATAAAATTGACTAGTTATGCTAACCAGAGAAAGAGAGAGAGAAAGAAAGTGAGAAATCACCCCCCTGGGGGGATGGCCAAGTTATAAACCCTTTTTCTCCTCTCAGGATTTTGGGCACACATACACATGCCCCCAGTGTGATTTTCAAGCTTCGAGGCCAGGACTCAAATTGGGAAGCTAGCCATGTGGGATCCAGTGCCTCAACCTCCATGCCATCTGCTGGCCCAAGTGTACTTTTAGCATGTATCATGACTTTCACCAAATTGTAAGGAATGGGCCACATGTCAACGTCTCATCTTTGTAATACACCAAGTACCAGGGGAACTTAGTGAGCTTCTCTCTCTGTGGCTCTGTCTAGTGGGTTTAGGTTTAGATCTTCTGTGTATGGATGTCTTTCTTTATGCTAATTATATTATAAATAAAAACTGAAAAGTGTATATTACCAGCTATACGTATTAATTAAATCACCATCAAATCTTTAGCTTTCTCTGGAAATAGAAGTCTTTTGAATGAAAAAATGTCTAATTAACTGGCTTACTTTACATTTATATTCATTTTTTTCAAGTGGGCCTTCAAAAAAAAAAAAAGGTTTATCTGTCTCTTTATTATTTATTCTATTACCTTAATTACTAATGCTTTTCTTAGAAATACCATAAAACTGAATTAATGATAACCAAGAGCCTCAGTTTTCAAAATGTATTCAAAATTATTTAAAAACGATAATCAGGAGCCAGATGGTGGCGTAGTAGTAAAATGTGCCATTCTGTGAGGCTCACCCACATGGGAAGGTTCTTGGTTCATATTTAGAGACCTCCTTAAGTACAATGGGTATGGGTGTGCCCAGGCTCCAGGGCTGGCTGAGGTATGGGGTGGATAATAGTTTAAAAACTCTGTTGGGAGTGCTATCTCTCTTGTTCATGGAAGAAATAAACAAACTTTAAAAAAACTGATACACATTTATTTAAAGATGAAGATTAAATTCAGCTGATACCACTTCTTGGACCTAGGTAAGAGTTCTAGCTATTGGCATTTTTGGCTACTGGAAAAATGAAAAAAAAAATGAGACAGGAGCTGGAAGGATAGAAGCACATATCAAGTAGAAATACAGCAGCTAAGTGAGAGATAATTAAAAAAATTCTTATTATATCCCTACAAATTCATAATCTGCCACATTGCTGGCTGTCATGTATAGATAGATTACTCTAGGCTCAAGTTAGGATGCTGTGCCATGTTGAGTACCATACCTGGGCAAATGTTATAATGCTAGGGAGAGTACTTCCTTGCCTGAGGATTCAGAAACCAAAGAGACGCTATCATGTAAATGTTAATGGTAAATTCTGGGAAAGACACCGCTCTATCACTGGAGAAAAGCACAAATTCTACACATGTGCTGAGAAGTAGTGAATGTCATGGACAGTCCTAAGTTGGGCTGTGCTAGGGGTGAAACTTGGGAGTTTTTACCACCACTAAATTTAAACTTACTAAAACTAGACAGTATGTCCCATGGCTAATCATAGCTCTTACATCTCATGGGGAGAAAAATACATCCAGTTAATTTTTTAAATTAAATTATAAACTTGACTAAATCATGCCTAATATCTATAAATACTTAGTCATATTTTTGTTTGTTAAGACAGGGAGCTTGGCTTTTTCATTTCAACTTAATTGCCACTATTAATAACATAGTTGATCTTATATAAAATCCCAAATGGTTTAATTTTCCAAGGTCTAAGAGATCATCTTTCCCTCTCTGACTTAATAAAGTATAAATAAAAATTTTCATGGAAGCATACTGCTGAGTATTTATCAATGTCAGGGTAAACTTAATTCCACTATAGAATGTCATTTCCTATTTGCCCATAATAAAACTATTGCATCACTATTTTTGGACTGGTAGATTTTAATACTAATAATGTGACCAGTTATTCATGTTGGGGAGTTTTAGTAACTCTTAACACACTTCTTAAGGTCTTCTATTAAGAATATTTATGTACCTGAAATGCAGTCTCCTATCAATCAAAAATGATTTAAGAAGTTTGCTGGGCTTCTAAAACTTAGATTTCTGCTATATAGAATTAGCCATTTTAGAAAGGTTTTAATCCAATACTGAATTATTTATAAACTGCTCTATGATTTACCTATTATAATGTATTTTAAGTAGTGAAATTCTGCATATACTGTATTTTCTGTGTCTATTCATTGCTGTGAACTTATGTATGTTGGTGAAATAAATTTTCAGCTTTCCTGTTGTTTCCTTAAAAAAGATTTAAAAAGTCAATAGTCAGAATTTTTCCTCTGTAAGGTATGTCATATCTTGTGTCCTTAAATTAAACTATGCAAATACAGATAATGATGACTTTTACTTTAGTTATTTAAAAGATGACTTTGTTATTATCATTCAGTAGAACAGATCACAATAGGAAAATCGAACAGAAGTATCAAAAATATTATAAGCTCCTCAACTGGGAAAGATAAGAGTCAAAACAAACTACCTTTAAAATAATACATGTTTGGGACCAGCAGTTGGTGTAATGGGTATATTGCTGGACTCCCATGTAGTCGCCGCGGTTGGAGTACCGGACCCGCTGGCTTAAACTCATGCCGGACGCATGTGCGAGCATTCTCAAGATCCTGAGAGGAGAATAGAGGAGAAGGGATTGCGGCGTGGCCATCTCCCCAGGGGATGATTTCTTGCTTTCTGTCTCGTCTCTCTCTCTCTGTCTTTCTGGCGAGCGAATGAGCCCTATAACAAAAATTTCTCCATAAAAATAAATAAATAAATAAATAAATAAAAATAAAATAATACATGCTTAAGATCTGGGGGAAAAAAAAGAGCAAAACAGTCTCTTGTCTCAGTATTCAAAAGACATTTTAAAATGTATTGCTAAATGCTTGATTTTATTAAGATAAATACTGAAACTACTATACAATGCTTGCCTTTGTAAACATAACAGTAATGACACACACAAAATGCACACACACACACAATGAATTGAACTTCATCATTAAAATGAGAAAATAGACTGGTCACCTGTGGAATCATCAGGGGTCCATGGATGACTTCGAGTTGGCTTCTCTGAGGTTGGTCCTGAGGTAGTGATCATTCTGACACTGGGACTTGATGACCTACTGCTTACCTGTAGAAAGACATGACAGAGAAACAAATATAATTTTTGACTTTAAAAAGAATGACAAGAGTGCATTTCCATTAAAAGGAAAGGATAGACTTCTATTTCTATTAGTAGAGGTTAAAAAATAACTCTTGCAAAAATAAAATCCTGCTAAGAATATGACTTATGCGTAAAATTCATATACATTCACACACATGGTACTTCTTAAAAACTGATATGCTTACAAGAAAGTAAGAGAATTACTCTGAGATCAAAAACAAAGCAAGGGACCAGCAGATGATGTAATGGTTACCTCACTGGACTCCCAAGCAGCCAATTGCGGTGAGTCCCAGACCCGGTGGCTTAAAACTCATACTGGGCACGTGCACATGTGTGCCCAAAATCCTGAGAGGAGAATGGAGGAGAAGGGATTATGACATGGCCATCCTCCCTTTGGGGGTGATTTCTTGCTTTCTGTCTCCCTGTCTCTCCAGCGACCACAAAACAAAACAAAACAAAACAAAACAAAACAAAACAAAACAAAACAAAACAGCAAGAACAGGAGACCACAAAGTGTTTCAACTGCTAGCTTTGAGGATTTCACTCGAACTCCAATGACCTGCAGCTTCTGTTTTGACTTCCTTCTGCACTCAGAGGAACAGATGATAATGGATCTTTATAGGACAGGAGTAAGAATGGAGAAATCTCTGCTTAAAGCTAAAACCCAGGAAAGGCTTCACTCTTAGATAAGTGCTCTGCATATTATGGTGCTCATTTTCTTTTTTTCCCCTCCCTAAGGTGTACTGCTAATCCCTCTCCATTCTGGGGAGCTTGGCTCAGGTTTCCTTTAACATTATGTGGTTACTCTTGTTACTTCTCTGGTTCTTTGTGGACAAAGCCAGATTCAGTGTTTGAAGATAAGGAGTGTCTAGCAGTACACTGAATGCAAAACGTTCATTTACTGGTTGTTATGAGATCATTTCTGAAATTCTCACTCTGGCATTCATGACTGTTATCAGCAGGTTTATTTACCCATCTAGATTCTCTCTCCTTTTACAATTCCTAATGACCTTGTTTCCCCTTCCACCTTTTAATCTTGACCCCTTATTTATTCAGGGATAATATGGTACACAAAGTAGGTATGAAACCAAACCACATAAACTGTATTTTACAGGTTTAAAAGTTCAACCAATAGCAATTTCACATGGTTCAGTCTAATACTTTGGAGATCCAGGTTTAAGTTCCAGTACTGGCATTTATGGTCAGGTGACCTTTTATAAATAACTCAGTCTCTGTGAACCTTACGGTCCTTATTTGTCAAGTGTGGACAGAAGAGGCAGGAATAGGTAAGAAGCTGGGTCTTAATGACAAGACAGCCAAGAGATGAAGTTTCTGCTCTTCTTCTAAGTGGTATAGCTTTAAGTTAAATTATTTAATCTTGAAGATTAAATAGTAAAGTGGGAAGAGTATCATCTACATCACTGGGCTGTGAAAATCAAATGAAATAAGGTACATAAAATGCCTTGACATAGTACAAATGCTCTGTAAATGATGGGAATTAGGTGGCTATAAATATAAGATGGGAATACAGGCATATGAGTAGACTCAAAGCTCCTAACAACCGCCTTCCTAGTTCATAGCACCTAACAATTGCCTTCCTAGTTCAAAATCACATTCTTTTATAAAGCATGTCCAGTGACTAAACCTTATCACGAAAACTTTTTTCTGTTTTGATACTTGGCTGTATTTATGGTCAGCTCCTACACAAACTTATACTTAAGTCTGAAATACTTTATATTACTCTCAAAGTTTTTTATTTCTCAAAAATATTATAAGAGCAGAGACTAGGTATATTTTTATATTGTACTTCCCAGGATCTAGGAAATTGCTGAATATGTAATAATCACATAAGAAATATTGACTGAATAAAATGACAGCATAAGCCACTGGCACTTAGATAAAAGATCAACCCTTTTATCTTATTCTTATACAAGAGTAAGAACACACACCAAAGAGAACCAGTGATGAAACGTGTAACTCTTTTAGAAAATCCTACTCTTAAAGTAAGTAGAGACATTATGAAAATATTCCCAAGTCCTTTTACCCTTCTTTGAATCTTGGTGTGTCTTAATAATTTAAGAAGAGTACACTGATTTGTCCATAGTTATTATTTCTTTAAAAAATTTTTTTAGGGACCAACAGTTGGCATAATGGCTATGTCATAGGACTCCCACACAGTCGACAATGGTTCGAGTCCTGGACCTGGTAGCTTAAACTCATGCCGGAGCATGTGCGTGTGTGCCCAAGATCCCAAGAGGAGAATGGAGAAGAGACTGTGGCGTGGCCATCCCCCCGGGGGATGATTTCTTGCTTTCTGTCTCTCTCTGTCTTTCTGGTGAGCGCACGCGCCCTAGAGCAAAAACCTCTCAAATCAAACAAACAAACAACTTTTTTTAAAGCTTATTTATTAGGCCAGCAGGTGACATGGTGGTTAAGGTGCTGGATTTCCACCTGGCCAATGGTGGTTTGAGTTCTGAACCTGACAGCTTAAAAAAAAATATCACACCAGGCACGTGTAAGTGTAAGCCCAAAATTCTGAGAAGAGACTGCAGCACGGCCATCCTCCCAGGGGCTGAATTCTCGCTTTCTCTCTATTTCTCTCTGGTGAGTACATGCACCATATACAAAAACCTAAAGGTTTATTTATTTCATGAGCAAGAGACAGAAAGCACCCTCAATGTATCTAATGCCATGATACATTCCCAGTCTTTGCCAGCCCCAGATCATGGGGACATGCATGCCTGGCATCCTCAGGGGGGCCTCTGGGAACTTCCCATGTGGGATAACTTGCAGAGCATCACATTCCATTCCTGCACCAGCATCTGGCCCCTACACTTACAATGTCTGGGTGGCAGAGTCGGGCTTCAGAGTCAGTATGATTTTATGCTAATATTTTAACATTTAAGAAGGAGAAATAAATGTTTGAGACATGTAAGAATCAGTATCAATTATTAAGAAACTAAAATTAACAGAAATTAAGATACAATTCAAGTAAGAATTAGGTTTTCAAACTAGAAATGGATATTTTTAAAAGGCCACTTGACATTTATGATATTAAAATAATTGTAACTGGATCTAATACAAATTATAGTACTCCTTAAAGTTTAAATGTTTTTCAGAAGAATTCTTTGTTGCTTAATTCTTTTTACTTTCTAAGAAACTCTTAGTTCCTGAGGTGCATGCTTGCTTGTTCTACTTAGGATTTTCTATGGCTATGAAACTAAGAAATTAGGTTATTTTTAGTTCCAGTTTTAAAACTGGTTTTTCTTTAAAGCTACAAGAAAAGCTATAATAAATTAAACTTAAATTCATAAATTAAGCAAGTAAGTTGTTATATTTCAAGGAGTGTGTACTTCAATGAATAGCATGTTTGTATATAAAGTTATGCAAACTAGTTACATAAAAACTAAAGAAATATTTAAAAACAAGCCATGATTATTTTATCAATATTTTAAAAAACATAAGACATAAATAAGAGGAACATGTAACTTTTGGTAATTCTTAAAAATACAAACTAGTTTATGACTAAATTTATGTTACTGCTTACGAGTGGGTATGAAAGAAGTCTTATTTTATAGTATATCTTTTTTCAAAATTATGGTAAAATTCTGATGGCAATAAATGCTGCCAAGTGTTTAAAACTCACTTAGGTTGCTCCTTCCTTCATTTAAAAATACTTTATTCTATTCCCACATAAACTACAAAGTTGAAAAGATATTAGATAAACTTGACTTACCACAAGGATTGAATAGCAAGTGGGTAGGCAAGCACAGAAATGCTACATAGCAAATTAAGGCTAGAATCCTAAGCCAAATTTAAACCGCTGGGGTAAATTACCATCAGTAGGCATGAACCAGAATTGGCCTTTGACCAGAACTTTATCCTTATATTTATAAAAGGGAATTGGGAGTTATTTTTGCAGACAAAAATAAAGCTTAGCTTTTTATGTCTCACCTGAAAGACTGGGAAAATATTTTCTTATGTCAAAAATTTATGCCCAGTGCTACTATTTAAACTGACATTTAAAGGTTATTTGAATCCTTCAGAAATCTCAGCTGCTAAAGTTATGCAAGCATAAAACACAGGGAGATTAAAAGCTGATTTATATGATATTCTTGCTTAAGTACTATAGTTCAATAATATATTTTTTAAAATGGGTATAAGTTGATAACATGGATTTACACAAGTATTTTCTCCATTAAAAATCAAAGGTAATTCAATCAAATCTATGCCTGACAATGTATCAAAAACATTTTTCTAATCTAAATGTGTATGTCTCAATTTAATTCTGATTTTACTATGGAAAGATAACTATTCTCCAATAGAAGAGGTATACTATGAACCAGGAATTATTTAAAACTATTCTGTAAATTTAGGATTTAAAGCTTTACCAGAAAGTTACTTATACTAAAGGGAATACAGACTGAGAACAGACGTAAGTAATATAATACATTATATCCTTTAAATAAATAACATTTCTCAACATGTGATCAAAGGCTTTTATAGCAAATACCTCTTATGATTCCTGATGTAAATTTTTCTCACAATACAGAAAAAATAGAAGGCTGGGGGATTTTATTTCTTTCCAAGTGCTATTTTGACTTCATTTCTGGAGAGTAATGCACTACTCTGAGAACAAGGTAATGGTACCAAGAACTCTGGGATCAGATTCTGGGGAGCAGGTATGGAACATGAATTCACATCACTGTGTGGCTGGTATTTTCACATGTGAAAAGGGGTGAGTGTTAGAGACCCTGTTTACAGATAAAAAACTTATCAGGGACCAGCAGTTAACATAATGGCTATGTTGCTGGATTCTCATGTAGTCAACCGCGGTTCGCATCCTGGACCGGGTGGCTTAAAAACTCACGTCAGGCTCGTGTGTGTGCGTGCCCAAGATCCCGAAAGGAGAATGGAGAAGGGATTGCGGCGTGGCCATCACCCCTGGGGGGTGATTTCTTGCTTTCTATCTCTCTGTCTCTGTCTGTCTGGTGAGCACACGCGCCTTATAGCAAAAACCTCTTCAATAAAAATAAAAAAATTGCCCAAAGCATATATTTGACTGCTAGTAGCCAATTAGAAAGTCTATAGAAATGTAATATTTCTACTTCTCTAAAACTGCATCATTTTGCAGCTGTAATTTTCATTGACTACAACTCCTTCTAAGAGAAATCTTGAACATACTGGACATAATTCCAGAAGGGAGTATGAAGATACAACTGACAACATATAAATTTAATGTAACAAATCTGGGCTTACTCAGACATAAGAAAATAAATGTGTGTAGTCACTGAAGTAGATTACTCTTGCTCGATGCTATGACACAGCTAAACTCATCATCACTGAAAACTATTTTAACAATTAATGACAATACAGACTATTGAAGGCCAAAACCCTTAAAATTTAAGAGATCTGGAGTTACTTCTACATGCATTACATCTAGTTTTATATACAGGAGAGATGAACAATTTAGGTTCAAGTATTTTAGAAGCAGATCTAGATTTAAAACCTGTTTCTAACTGACAATGTAAGGGAAGTAAGAGTCTTAGATAGGCTTTTCTAATCTTCAGTTTACCCATCTGCAAAAGAGGAAAATAAAAAGAATCAAGGTTTAGATAATGATATAAGGGCTCGCCTGTCACAGAGTTAAGCACACAAAACAACAAATGGCGGCTGTTATTACTCTGGTATTCTATTAATCTGGGCATATGTATGATGTGCCTAAATTAGCATCTGGGGGGATGGGCTTTGTTGGTATTATCAGTGCCCTCCCCAAAACCACCAGGAACACACCTGTAGTGGAAAGAGTTGGGTTTGATATTCTTTACAGTGAAGAACAACGCTTATCACAAGGTACTATGGGGATATCTCGGTAAGAGGGTTTTTATAAAAGAAACTATGATGGGATTTAGGCTTTGGTTGAGTGATTTTTCGGGGAAGTTTTAAGGAAGGAGTTGGCTGCCAATTTGGAGTGAACTCCTCCTTTCTTAAGGCAAGGGCAGGTTTATGGGAAGGCAGCTTTATGGGAGGGCAGACCAAAGTAAAGATAAAGTTGTTATTGGTAAAGAAGTAGTTACTCATATACAGCTGGGGGAGGGCAGTATTTGGTATTCTGTAGGTAGTCTAGTGACCGTTTTTATCTGTGCTTAGATAACATTAAAAAGTGGTCTTATTTTGTCTCACTTTATCATGTTCTCAGCACAACTTTGTGTGATGCTAGTGTTCTGAGAGAGTATATGTGTCCAATAAGACAATAACATGGTTTATCTGTGAAAGCAAGGCCAACTTCTAAGAACACTGAGGTTGCAGTGTTAGATCACTTCCTGGATGTCAGGAGTTGCTTTTTTCTTTCTTGGAATCTTTTTTTTTTTTTTAATGTTTATTTATTTCTGAGAGTAAGAGAGAGAGTGAGAGAGAGAGAGAGAGAGAGAGAGAGATCCCCCCAGACCGGGTCTATACCAAGATCCACTTGCAGCTTTGACTGCCTAGATCATAGGTTCGTATGATGCACCCAGTCTGTACAGGAAGGCCTTGGGAGCAATCCCTGGTCTTTCTAACATTGCAGAGTGATGATGTTACCACTGCACCACTGTCTGGTTCCTCTTAGTATCTTTTCAAAGAATCTAAAAAGGCTAGACCCATTATGCATGCTTAGTAGGATTCTTGAATTAATTAAAAAATCATGTTTAAAATAAGTTGCATGTTACAAGGATGTGATCTTCTCCACATGTACTTATGTGACTACTTTTAATTACAGAGCTTGCTCTGTTCTCTATTCCATTCAATAAACATGGCAGTATAAAAACAAGCAACTTAATTTTAGTTCACAGATGGAAAGTATAACTGGTTTTATTAAGATTGTGTCTCTGGACCAGCTGTTGACATAGTGCTAAAGGCAGCTGGTCCCCACATGGCTGACTGTGTGGTTCAAGACCCAGACCTAGCAGCTTGAAAAACAAACCAGGTGTGTGTGTGTGTGTCCAAAATTCAGAAAGGAAGGAGAAATGGAGAAAGGATTATGACATGACCATCCCTCATAGGATGTACTTTCACCCTCTCTTTCTCTCTCTGTCTCTCTCCAGTGAGCACACACACCCTCTGGTAAGTTAAAAAAAATTATGTCTTAAGATTCAAGGTACAAATTCTAGTAACTTACTTTCTTCTATGAGATGTAATGTTAAACTTATTAAGTTCTCTTTCTCTGATAGTTATATTGGGTTTGCCAGATTCTTTTCTTCATTCTATCAATATGAATGCCACCCCCCTCAAGGACAAAAAAAAAAAAAGCCTGATCACTACTTGGCCAGACTTTAAAACAAACTATACCTCTAAATTTTGAAAATCTGTAGTATACTTTTCTTGTTCAGATAATGAATATTATCTTCACGAGTAATTAAAAAAGATTAAAGGTTACTTATAATACATTTTTCAGAGGAAAATATTTTCATGTTATATTAGGATTATCGCTTGCCATACTAATTCCAGGCATTTTACAGTTATAATGCTTATGTCATTTCAAGAATGGACCAATTTTAAAAACTGGTCATATGTGGTTATGTATCACCTTTATTGTTGTTGTTGTTTTTAGTTTTTGTTACAGGTTGAATGTGTTTGCTAGACAGAGAGAGAAAGGGAGGGAAAGTTAGAAATTAACCCCACAGAAGGGAAGGCCACGTGTAATCCATTCTCCTCTATTCTCTTTTTGGGACTTCGGGCATGCACACACATGCACCAGGTGTGATTTTCAAGCCACCTGGTCTGGGACTCAAGCCATGCAGTCGGCTAGGTGGGATTCAGTGCCTTAACCTCCACACCACCTCCTGTCCCATTACAACAGGCTTTACTGCCGTGTCAAACTCTCCCTCACCCCAAATCTCTTGGAACATTACTGACAACTTCTATAAATGTCCCACAACCATAGTCCACCTCAGTTCCAGCTTTTTACTACCTGAAGATATGTGAATTAAAAAGGAAACAATTACTATCCTAAATAATACAGATCTGATGATGAGGCAAGTAAGGCTTTGGTGTGGGGAAACCAGACCTGAATTATAGCAAAGTCTTTATTCTAAAATAGAAAAAAGCACTTGCATTAGTAGCCATTCCTTACGTGTCTGAGGGCAAGCTTCTCATTCCTAGTCAATGGAAGAACAATTGGCCAGAGGTTCTCCTAACTGGAACATCAATGTCAATAGTAAACAGAATTTAAAAGGCTGAGCTCATCATGCCTTTGAGGAATCAAAGTGATTATCTGTTACCAAATGGGCTGATTAAAGCTTTTAAGTATTTGAGGAGGAGAACTTCAGCCAAAAGTTCTAGGTCTCATAAAAACAGATATACTGGAAAACAAAGCAAAACAAACAAACAAAAAAACAACCTAGTAAATAAGTGAAATCAAGATGTAGAGTCACTAATGTCACCAAATATGTAATAAGTAAATTAATGTGTATGTCTATATACTTGTGTGTATACAGGCATTGTGAGTTGTGAATAAACATAGTATCAATATACCTATATACATAAATGAGGATCAAGATATTTATCACTTAAATATCTTAAATGGTTTTGTTAGTTAAGTTGATGGCTATAAGGGCTTTCAAATTTTTATTAATGACAACAAAGAATGTATAAAATTTAAAATGTTACAAACATGAAATAATAAAACAATCTTCCAAGATATAAAGTGTTAACATGTGTTATAAATTGAATCACATTGTTTATAATATATAATGCTAAAATTTTACATGAATATGGACCCTGATGTGATAATTTTGTTACTTCAGATGCATGCTGTAATCATAAAATGTATTTCAGCACACCTGAAAAAAAAACACATCATAATAGCCTTCATTCCTTTTATAGATAGTGATGTACATTATATGTGCCAACTGAAAAACAGAAAAAAAACAGTAACTAAGCTACTCTCTTATAACTGGCTGGTTAAAACTCTGTACTAGTCAGAAATGGCTCAGATTATAAACATTGTATCAGTTACAAAGAAGCAGTGATAAAAAGACATAATGAGTTTAGAAGAGCATCCAGAAATATAAAGAATGAAAAGCTAAACTCTGAGGACAGAAGTCTTTTTTAGAGTTTATCCATCTGCACAGCGAATACTGTTTTAAGGATATTTCACAAAAATACAAATCCAGGGGATATGTGAAATTGAAAGACATCAGAGGTCTCCAGGTAAGTCAATGCCTTGTATGATCCCAGAAGAGTGACATTTTACTGGGTTAATATTTATTTCCTCATTAGTGAAAAGGAGACAACACTAACAGTTCACTTTAGAGGACAATGACTGACAAACTGTTCAATAATAAAAATGAATATGTCCATATTAAAACATACATAAAACCATATAATACACACAGTACTATTGAATGATTTACTGTCCCATATAATTTATTCAGCTTACTTTGATGAATTACTCTTCAAGTTAAATTATTAACAGCATCTATGCTTTTTTCACCCTAAGTATTTAAGAGAAAGTGCCAAAAAGCTTCTATCACAATTTTAGATCAACTCAAATAACTAATTTTACAGAGTATATTATAATTAATCCTGATTTCTGGCTACTATTCTTCAAAGACAGAGAATTACAATGTTAAGTCTTACCTGAACAGGTTCTGTTCCAGTTACAGTCAAGTCTTGGATGGATCTACGTCTTGGCTGTCCGTTGCCTTTCAAAAAATATGAACAGTAAAATACTGAGATCTAGTCAGACAATAAGGGTACAACTGCTACAGGAGGAAGTTGGTATTTGTTGCTCCTTGGATCTACACAAAATGTTTGTGGGGGAAAAAAAGTGAGTTTATTGTTTGTTTGTTTGTTTGTTTTAAAAAAGACAGAAAAACATAAAGAAAGAAGACAAAGGGCTGCAGTGTTTTAACTCAAAAGTTGCTGGTGTACAACAGGGAATGTCTCGATACAATAACCACTCCCACCACATAAAAAGCTGCTGAACTCTCTTCCACCATCTTCTGTCATGTGTTTAAATAGATGAATGCTTGGGGGCTGGGGCTGATGATGGCATCTATTTCAAGGGCCTTACGTTACAGTTTTCACAGCAAGACAGCTAGCAGGTTGCAAGACACGAATGACTTTAACCAGTACCAACACCTTGTTTTGTTTTAGGGCCTAAAAGGATGCTTATTCTTAAATTTATTATATTGAGTCATCACACTTATTTAATCTTTTAAGTCTTTGTAGAATCTATATTTATAGAAATAAAATCACAAATTATTGTGAAAATCATCTCCTAACTTGCTACTGGAAATCAAAGATTCTCAATCTGTGAGAATGACTACAGAGGTGACTAAAATGGGTTATTTACTGTGTTAACCCTGGTTTAAAAACTTGAATGCTAACAATAACTTCATTAAAAAAGTGGATTCTACATATGTAAGTCTTTCGCAAATAAGAATGAATTAAGCAATAGCTTCACTCAGCACTTTTATTTGGGAATAGGACTGTTTATACAGTATCTTCTAAAGGGGAGATCAGCTGTCTAAAAGGAAACACCAAAATACTATGAGTAACAGCTGACACAATACTCAAAATTCTTTGACTCTGGAAGCTGTATTATGTAATATCTCAACCAGTGGGCGGCACTTAGAACATGCATTCTAATAGCTGTGGCCTGAGGAGCAAATGGCATTCATTATTAAAGTTTTGTATTTCCAAAAACCTGAATATAAAAAATATTTTTAAACCAATCAGCAATGTGATTTAGAACCCGATACATGTGACTGCAGTATTATTTTACACATAAACTAAAGGACCTTACAAGAGAATAAGGTTGTTCAATGCAAAGATATGTACACTGAACAAAAACACTTAAATTTATAACTACTCTTGACTGTGGAAGACATTATCACTTTTTCCCATTTTAGGCTATGTTTTAGAATTCTTGCATAATCTGAATTCAAATTTACTTCAAATTCCATTTTGTTCCAAAAAGTTTAAATTTTTCGTTACAAATTAAAACAATGATATTTATAGAAATAAAATCACAAATTATTGTGAAAATCATCTCCTAACTTGCTACTGGAAATCAAAGATTCTCAATCTGTGAGAATGACTACAGAGGTGACTAAAATGGGTTATTTACTGTGTTAACCCTGGTTTAAAAAACTTGAATGCTAACAATAACTTCATTAAAAAAGTGGATTCTACATATGTAAGCCTTTCGCAAATAAGAATGAATTAAGCAATAGCTTCACTCAGCACTTTTATTTGGGAATAGGACTGTTTATACAGTATCTTCTAAAGGGGAGATCAGCTGTCTAAAAGGAAACACCAAAATACTATGAGTAACAGCTGACACAATACTCAAAATTCTTTGACTCTGGAAGCTGTATTATGTAATATCTCAACCAGTGGGCGGCACTTAGAACATGCATTCTAATAGCTGTGGCCTGAGGAGCAAATGGCATTCATTATTAAAGTTTTGTATTTCCAAAAACCTGAATATAAAAAATATTTTTAAACCAATCAGCAATGTGATTTAGAACCCGATACATGTGACTGCAGTATTATTTTACACATAAACTAAAGGACCTTACAAGAGAATAAGGTTGTTCAATGCAAAGATATGTATACTGAACAAAAACACTTAAATTTATAACTACTCTTGACTGTGGAAGACATTATCACTTTTTCCCATTTTAGGCTATGTTTTAGAATTCTTGCATAATCTGAATTCAAATTTACTTCAAATTCCATTTTGTTCCAAAAAGTTTAAATTTTTCGTTACAAATTAAAACAATGAACTGCATTTATTGAATCATTCACTGAGATACTTTTCTGAATACTTTTTTAAGTATGCCCAGTTCCTGAGGACAGAAAGGATCTCCCCGCCACCATGACTAATAAGCAATTTTAGGCACATTTCATTCAACACACTCATTCTAAAATTAGCAGATATGAGACAAGCTTGTAAAAGTGTCTGGAATTCTCTTTTCAGATTAGCAACACAGCAACATTTGTGAATCTGAGGAACCACCCAGCACATGTGTCTAGAAATTACTATATTACCATTGCAATAACAACAAAAAATGAACTCAAATTGAGGTGGAGGAAGGGTAGAAGGAAAAAGAAGTAAAAACTTTTAAGGAAGTAGGATAAAGAAGAGCTGACAGTTAACAAATGCCATGAGAAATCTTTAAGCTATAGCATGAGTCAAAGCAAGCAATATTAGGCAATGCACTTTAATTAGCATAACCATGGCAGAAACCATCTGGCAAATAGTTCAGACAAAGCAAAAAAAGATTGCAATCAACAGATACTTGTTGCTCCAATATTAAGTTTTAAGTCATAATTTAGAAATATGAATGTAAAAAAATTCAATCTTCTATTATTGCAAATGAAAATTACTGGGTGCATTCTCAGTAAATTTGGAATGGTTCTAAATTCTTTGAAACTAAATACTAATTTAGAAACTCATTTTATATTTTTTGAGGATCTTTGACATATGCATACTTATATTACACATGGTGGCATACATGAAAAAAGTAGAAGAAATGAGGGCAACTTGATCTAAAAACATGCTTGATTAAGGAATCTGAAACCTGGGTATGTTGTCCTGAATATTTCATTCTTTAATGAATTCTGTAACATTCATGGTTCGAGAGAAAACAAATCACATTTTTACAATGTCTCTTACAACAAAAGAAATACAACACATTGCCAGTACATCCTAAACTGCCCACTCCAATCCTCCTCCAAACCTGGAAAAGGGGTTAAGAATAGCAGCTCATAGGTCAATTCAGTTCTTTTTGCAGTAATGGCATAGAGACACAATCTACCTCTTCAAAAAAGCTGCCCTTTTAACTACAACTGATTTTCTAGGATGGTATTTAAAAGTCATCACACAGTTCTCAATACTGGTAGCTCAGATCCCAGTCATTCCTGCAGATTTTTGGTCAAAGGGTGCATGAGGTCACTAGAGCTAGGGAGAAAAGGAAAGTGAGAAATCATCACCTGGGGGGTGGCCATGCCACAATCCCATTTCCTCCTGGGATCTGTGGCACACATGCTTGGTGTGAATTTCAAACCACTGGTGGCCATGTGGAAATCCAGATGCTTTAACCACCATGCCACCTGCTGGTCCCCACTCCTGGAGCTCTACTTATCAGTTTAAATACCGTACCTATGCTTACTTTACAAATCTTATGAAGACGATTCTTTTCATATAAAAATAAACACTACATTTTCCTAGAGACATGACCACAAATGTTAGAAATTTAGAGATTCCTAGGTTCTGAATATTAGAAATTGTGGTACACTGTTTTATTCATGTATAAAATACACAAGATTTAAAAAAGATATACAGCAATGTAAACTGCAATATTATAGTACTGATTCATGGCAAACAATATGTAATTTTAAAATATGTGATCTCATTTAGGCTGTTACAAATTTCAAATTCCTACTAATTTCAATGAATTCTGATTTTTTCCTTAGAATGTCCCTTCAGATAGGATTTTCTACTTTATCAAATAAAAGCTTTTTTGTTGTCGTTGTTTTTAAATTGAAAGAGGGAGTGTGCATTAGCCAGAGAGAGAGAGAAAGAAAGCACCCCTGCCTCCTCTGTGAGATGCAGTCATGCCATACTCTTACTTTTCTCTATCTGCTGGGATTTGGGATATACTCATACCCTCACTCAGTGTGTCTTCCAGGCTGCCAGGGCCAGGCAGGACTCAAACCATGATCAGCCATTTGGGATCTAGCTCCACTAAGTCACAGAGCCAGTTCAGGAAACCAATCAATGAGTTTTAACTTCCTAAAACTTTATTTATTAAGTTAGAGATCAGTATTTTTAGGTTAAAAATGTGACCTTGATAGACTATGACATGGTAAAACAATTACCTAAATATTCATTAAAAGATGAAATTAACTTCCCTATTTAATTTGTCCCAAACACAGAATTTTATTTAAAGTGAAATGGCTATACATGACAAAAACTGGTTTAATATATCTTCCCTTGGGACCCAGCATCTCTAATCAAAGGTCAGTAACTGCTAATGCTACTATCTGTATAAGGCAAGAATTTGCCAGATCTAGAAAAACTCAATTTTTTCTATCTTGTCTTTTCTTTTTTTTCTATTTTTTTTCTATTTTTTTTTTTTTTTTTTTTGAAGAGATATT